TGTGTCAAATTTTGAATAGTAGGAATTTTTAGGATTTTTATTTTTATGAAAAATTATTCCAAAAAGTTTTAAATTTCTTTTGCTCTGTCTCAGTGGCGACATCATTGAGCTTTTTTTCAAGACTTTAATGAAAATTTTACTTTTAATCTTCAGGTAGTTTTCTAGTCAGTCGTCTAGTCAGTCATCGCTCAGTCTACTACTGTATAATACATCTTGTAATGAGTTTAAAAAGTATTTAAAACTCCTCTTAAACACTATGTATTTGAAGAGTTATAATTGAAAATGACAAAAGTACGATTAGAAAGCATTTGTGGATAAACAGTTTGATAAACGTTTTAAACTTATTTTAATAAATTAGTAAATTTTCTCGAGTGCTTGCCCCCACGTTCCACTTTGCCCTCCCTTCCCCTACTTTAATATCAATTTTCTTCGTAAATATATCTTCAAAAATATTTTTAGACATGCTTTTTATTCAATGCACATAGTTTCTATTTGTGAAGTGTTTTGAGAACGAATTGTGAATTGAATATGGAGTGAGTGAGAGTTGATTCTTTATTTATTATTAGTGAAGTAATTACTGCTTATAAGTGAGAAAATTGACAAAAATGCGTTACTGAATCTAATATTATAGGCTCGCTAGTTTCAAGTAGAGTGACTGGTTTTGGCTCAGGAAATAGCGAACTTCAAAGTACATTTTTTTAAGTTAATATCTATTTCTAATCTTTTTTAACCATTTCAATTGAAATATCAGTCCTCTCCGGTGGTCGAGTGTGACCCAAAAGGTCCCCACGACTAACTTCCCAGTGGAAAGAATGATAGGATTTAGTTTGTTTACTATTTTTTTCAGTTTTTTAGTCTGCATGAAAAATGACTAGACCGATTTTGCTGAAAACCTAATCAGTTTTAATTTGCGCAATTACCTGTCGAACGCAATTGGTCTCACGTTGATATCATTTTTTGCTCCTGAGGAAATCGAGACGAAAATACAGACACATGCGCTCACACATATCCACTAGAAAACTGTCGTATTCGACACAACCATGGGGCAAGACGGCTTTTTGAATTTTGAAATGACTTCTTCACATAATAATGTAATTTTAGTGATAAGCATATTTTCAACTCAATGTTAACTTTTGTATTAACAGCTTCGGAGGATTCGTTTTGTCTCATTAAGTTACCAAAAATCGAAAAAGCTGTCTTGTCTCGTATTCTTCTACGTCAAAGTTCAAAATTCGCAAAATCGGATGTATTTCTGTAACTTGGGGAACTTGAAAATTATTAACGAATATAATAATTGATAAATAAATTAATACATAATTGACAATTTGAAAAAGAATTGAAAAATCTATGTATAAATCCTTAGTCGGACTTCAAATCGTAATGGTATTTAATAAATAGTGAATTTTTAATCAATAGTTTATTCACATGAAACTTTTTAAGGGCATCAATTTTTAAAAAATCCAAGTCAATAAACTCTAAGTTTTTTTTTCTGGGGTAGTTGTGAATAAACATGGTATCATTATATCGAATTTTTAAAATTTTGACTTTCGCAGAATAACCAGCGGAGGTTTAGAAATATATTGTGTAGGATACAGAGTACAGAATCTCGAAAAAGTATACTCCCCATGTGTTCTCACAGTTTCTAAAAGAGTAAGTGAAAGAAGCTCTGGGTCCATGTTGAAATTCTGTACAAGTTTTTTCTCTTTGCTTTCGAAAAATCGAAATTTACCTAATTCTAGTACAGGAAATCAGAATAGAAAAGATTCTCAAAGTAGAAATGGGGGAGTTGGAACTTGGGGTTGTTGAACTTTGTTCCATTTTTTTTCTACGAAAAATCATGAAGTTTAAAATTTTAGAAAGTTTCAAGTACAAATAGAGGGAATTAAATAATAAAATTCAACTTCACATACATTTGTATTTGAAATGTCATTCAATTAACATAGTTTTCAATATTAAAAAGTAAGAACTTCACATGTTACATTCAATTAAGTAAAATAAAATGCAGAATTTTTTAGTTCTCATTAAGATGATACATAAATTTTTATAATACGATACATTGTAGTAAATATTTATCTACTTTTAATTCTACGAAACTCAATGCTCACATTGTTTCTCTCTTTCCATCGTTATATTCAAACAATATTGTCATACCATTAATTACCAATAGCATTAGATCTTGTTTTAATAAACAAAATTTCAATATTATCAAACAGATATTTTTTGCTGGTTAAAACTCTGATCGATTATATTTATCGTAGATTTACTGAAAATCCAAACATTTGACAAATTTGCTAGTGAAAATACAAATGAGTAAAAAAACATACAGGTAGTTTTGATGCGTTATACTTTCCAGAAACAGTGGGGTTGAAGCAGCACTATATAGCACTGGGTCGATAGATGCCGACAACTACCTCACCACCCCGGTTACGGTACCGACGACCCGATATTCTACTATACTTGTTCTGATGTTTCTTCCTCCAACACAATCCCTACACAGCTCTGCCTTTCTTTCTTTCTTTATCTAACGACGCGACTATCCTTATTGATTATGCTTCAGCTCTCAATACAATGCACTTTCTACCAAAAGTAATGTCGAAGACTGAATAATTCGCCTGAGGAAAAATTTCTGTTAAAAATAAATTTCAAGTTTACCTACTCAAAAAAATACCAATATCGTACTATTTGATGGAAAATTGTATGAGCTTTAATAAATACATTTTCCAATGAATATGGTAAACACTTCTTAATTGCTTAATTCTTGTTAACAACTTTGAAATTTCATCATGGGGCTTGATGGGATTTCACATGTTACATTATCATTTTTTTATACAAAAAATTGGCAAATCAGAAAGAAGCTATTGAGTATCTAATAAGAGTTCAGTTATCCCTCGATAAATCATGCGGTTAAGTTAAATTTTAATCTTTAATGCATTATTAAAAATACACCATATTCTAATTCACTCAAAACATAAACGTAAAAAATTCATTATCGAGAAAATTTGACTGTTATGTGATGGTAAAAACGTTATTAATTTATTTATGAAACTTGTCTATGTTGCATTATCTCCAATATGATTCCCCCTGTGAAAGATTCATATCAAATTTCAATATAAAATAGTTTGTGAGTGAAAAATTTGGTACAATCAATGAAAATTGAATACAAAATAGAATAGAACAATTTTAGATAACAAGTCGATGCTATTACTTTACTACTTTGAAAAGAGAGCAAATTTACGATTTAATATCTTTTATATTTACAATAAAAAAAATAAATTGACAAATAGCATACAATAAAATAGACAGAGAATGGTATTTTACGAGAAAAAGGAAAAAATAGTCAAATGGTGGTACACGATTATTTATTAGAAAGCTCGAGAAATTGTACTCGTATATAGTAGTATATACATATAGAGAAAACTATCGTCAACAGTTTTCATTCATGCTTTTATAACGGGAACGACAGCGACGCGCTACGACGAAAGCTTCAACATAATCAAATATATAGTATGTATTTATATATTTTAACCTTTTTGAGTACAGTATAATCTCTTTTATGCTTTTCATCGTTATAGTATATATGATATTTTAATACAAATATGGAGATAGTTTATAATTATTGATAAGTTTATTTATTCAATTACATAAATATTATATAGCAATAACTTACTTAATTTTTTAATGCTTTAATAGAAAAAGTAGCACCCATGTAGAGTTTTATTTATCGCTTAACATTAAGACATTGAAATAGAAATCATCAAAGTGTTAGTCTCTGATGATATGAGTTTTATTCTAAATTTTGATCATTAATCTAAATGGATTAAAAAGTCGTTTGGAATTTTATAATGCAGACTTTTCTATAGAATATTTTGGAGTGCTGATAACAAATGTTTATGGAGCACTCAAATGATTCAGGTTCAAGTAATATATTTTGAATAAGTTATTTTTAATATTAATTGATAGTAAACGGTTGATTAATTAATGATCTAATCTCAGATGTCATTATCTCATAAAATGTTGTTATTACTATTAAATAATTCATCAAATATCACTCATGTCAGTAAAAATCATTTAAGATCAGTATTAAAATTTATCAATCGGTTTCAGTACTTTTATCTTGTACTATATAACACGTAACTAAATATTTATTGGCTCTCAATATTTTGTTTTCAATAATTACAATATGATAATATTTTGCAAATAAATATAAAAATATATTTGTGGAATAAATAATCGTTTGAATAACAATAAATAAATAATCAGGTCTGAAAAATAGATAAAATATAAAAAAATATTAGGAATACGAAGCTAATTTCTATTGAAGATACTAATATTTTGTCAATTAACTAGAGCTTGTTTTACAGGATAAAAAAATTTATAATTAGGTTCTAGTAATTCTGTGTTACATCTTTGACTTTTGATCAAAAATTTTAATGATAATAATCTAGGGTATTGAGAGCATGCGGAGTGAGAACGTTAAGATTCAAAGATATTGATTTGACTTCCTAGCATCTACCCTAGTAAATTCATTTATTTTTTCACTTTTTTATTTGATGTCAGCAATCATTCAGAAATTTTGTTTTCAGACTATCCTCAGTTTTTTTTATCACGAAGTTTCACTGTAATTTTCATTAATTTCCAAAGGAAATTTTTTTTTCTTATTGATTTTATGTGAAGTATATGAAAAAATAAAGCCATAAATCATAAATTTTATTACTATTAATGTCCTACAATTTAAACTTATGTCATTTTTTATAGAAACTTTTATTGTAAATCAAAACATATTAAATAACTTACCCTAAAAGATGTTCAATACACAATTGTCAATCACAGACCATAGATTAAATCACTTTTGAAAAGCGATTATAAATAACTAAAAGATGTTAGAGTTGTACAACGATTTAAAACTGATTTCTAAAGAGAAGTTTTTAAACTCTATATAGCGTAGATTATTTTCATTTTATTTCATCGAAAGTAAAAATGTAATTTTTATATTTTTTCAGGTACTGGTGAATCGGGAAAATCGACTTTTATTAAACAGATGAGAATTATCCATGGATCTGGATATTCAGATGAAGACAAAAGAGGTTTTATCAAACTTGTATACCAAAATATATTTATGGCAATGCAATCTATGATTAGGGCGATGGATCTTCTCAAAATTCAATACGGTGATTCTTCTAATATAGTAAGTATATTTATTTGTAAAAAAAAATCAAACGAAAGTAAAGATATTATTAACATTTATAGTAGAAGTATTATTTACAAAATATAGTAGATTTAAGTTAAATGAAAATTGTACAGTAAGTCTAAAAATAAAATATTTTTAATATTATTAACTTGAAGGAAATAAAATTTTTAAATAAACTAAAGATCCAATAATTATAAATATTTTTCTCATCCCAATTAGTTAAATAACTTATTTAAATGATGTTTTTATTGAACACTTATTCAAAAAAAATGATTTTATAAAACTGTTATTTTATACGACAATAAATCTATTAGTATTTACCCTTAATTCAAATTTTTTATGTAATTGATGCAATGATAAATTATATTTATTAAATCACTAGCTGATTCCCGCGAGTTCGTCTGCGTGATGTGCATAATTACTTTACATAATAAAAAATTGATTGGAAGAAGTTTTAAATAGTAAACTCGTTATTTGAATGAGCCAATTCCAGATTCGTATTTCTTTGTGATTGTATTAAAAACAAAAAATAAATTCGTAAGTATTAATATAGATGGAAAAATTTCAATTTCATTGTGAGATCTGCTCCTTTACGACGATTTAATTGTTATAAACAGAATAAACCCATTTTCATTTATGTCACTTAGTCAGTAACTTTGCTCTGTTACACGAAACAATTCGTTAAAGGAACTCTCATTTATTAATCCTGTTCTCAAATGGATATTACAAATCGAATTTTTATAACAAATAAAGTTCGTTTACATTCTTGTTACCTGGTTAGTAGCTTATTTTTGATGAGAGAAAAAATTTCCCGTTGGAAAAACTCAAATATCTCACATAGAGCTCGTTTTCAATCGTTTATAAAAAATTAAATAATTATAAACGAGAAGAATATGTTTGTATTCACGTCACATGGTTGGTAACTTTTGTTTAGCAAAAGAAAAAATCACTCGTTGGAAGAACTCAAATATATTGCATAGATTCCGTTTTTGATTGTTTATAACAAATACAATTGTTACAAACAATTTATATAAACAAAAACTATATTATCTTTTAAGTTGAACCAAATTACAGATAGTTACGATATTTGATCAAAATCGATTCAGTCGTTTCAGAGTTTATCCTAAACATACATCGTGACACGAGATCATTATATATATATATATAAGATAAAAAAGTCAATAGAAAATCAATTCTTAAGCTCGAATGTACATCATTAGCTTACTCAATTTTTATTTAAAAATTTTTTAAATTGTATTTTTCAGATCGATTACAATCGAAAAATATTCAAATGCTTTTCTAACATTTTGAAACCTTAGTGAAAGTGGAATGAATCATTCGATCCTAAACCCAATGATAATAAGTTAAAGCAATAATAAACTAAATGTACATTCAGTTCTTATTCATGAATAAGTTATCATAACCGATTTCAGAGTCAATCATAGAAAGTCATAAAAAAAATAAGTCCAATGTCTATAAATAAAAGCTAAAAAAGAAATCAAAATTACATTATTTATCTTACTCAAAATATTTCAAAATTTTCAAATAAAGATATTTAACTTATTGTTACTTATCTATCCTTTTACTTGTTTATTAAATCAATCATTTGTTCATGATTTGCATATATTTTAAATATTTTTTCAGGAAAAAGCTGAATTAGTACGAAGTATAGACTTTGAAACAGTAACGTCATTTGAAAGTCCGTACGTTGAAGCCATTAAAGATTTGTGGGCTGATGCTGGAATTCAAGAGTGTTATGATCGTCGACGAGAATATCAACTAACCGATTCAGCCAAATAGTTAGTATTATTATTATTAAAAATATTATTTTGACATTTAAAACATAGACACTTTGCTGAGCAAAAAAGCGTTAATATAATAATGATTGTTTGTAAATAACTTTACAAATTTGGGAGAAAAAACCAGATGTTTAGAAAATAATGTTACAGCTATCTTATGGAAATAGACCGAGTAGCAGCACGAAATTATCTTCCTACAGAACAGGACATTCTTCGCGTGAGAGTGCCCACTACTGGTATAATTGAATATCCGTTTGACTTGGGAGAAATTCGCTTTAGGTATGTCAGATGACACAAACGGAAAAGGAGCCTGTCTGCGCCTGTGATTTGCCTGCATCAAGATTTTCTTCGTTATTCTCACTTATTTGCATTATTATTGTTTTTTCTATCAATATATGTTTTAGAATGTTTTTCGTATGTTTTAAATAGATCTATTGATAATTAATATATTATATGTACAATATCTTATTATTTTCATAATTAATTTTCAATTATTATATATTATTATAATGACATTGACCATTTAGAAATAGAAATTTTAACTTGTTAAAAATAAATCTAAGTTGATTCCACATCAAAATGGATTTTTATAACATAGCAAATCTATTTTTATAAGTTGAGGCATTTAAAAATGAGGAGAGTATTACGTAAATTTGATTGAATTTATTATGAAAATAATGTTTTAAATTTCAATATGTATTGTTAAGATGCAAACTATAAAAGGTTGTAAAATATACCCAAGTATTATGAAAAAATATTAAAAATTCAATAGATCTACACATGTCACTTTATAATAATTGCATTAATAAAGTTTTTTAGAGGAGTATTGCAAGATGCACGATCAACATGTGATAAGTGGCTGTATTTTCGTTAACGTTTTAATTTTATTTCTAACCATGCATGGCATGCTCTATCACATTGCCAATATTTATTTTACAGTTATCTTAGCGACCTAGAACGTATCGAAAAACCTGATTATCTTCCTACTGAGCAAGACATCCTTCGGGCTCGAGCTCCTACAACTGGTATTATTGAATATCCATTCGATCTGGACTCCATCATATTTAGGTATTGATAGCTTAGTCGTTCCACTACGATCATAAAAAAGAATTCAGAGACTTTGAAAAACGTAACATTCCAAATTTAAAAACTTAGCTGAATAAGATATTCAGAATATTCTTCAGAAAGTTAATTTATCGTTTCCAATCATTGGAATATCTTCTTTTTTATCACCAATTATCTTTAGACTTACATGTATATTATTGATCGTTTTTGTTCCTGACGAGTAGTTTTTTTACAATATGTTCTACAACGAATATTTTAAATTATGCTTATCTCGTACTTTCCTGCATGAAAATGAATACTTTTTCTTAATATTAGATTCATATTTATTTTACGAGTCTGAATGTTTCAATGGCTTTACGCTTTAAATTTTTGATAGTTACGGAAATTTCAATTAAATTTTATTGTATGTTTGTAATTTTTGGTCAACTACAAAACACTTGAGTTTAGTTGAATATTTTTCTCAGACTTGTATTTTCAGCTACGTATTTTTTAACGCATGAAAAGAAGCGATTGATTCTCTCACATAAATTATTAGCATATGCATCATATTATATTATTACTACTATACCATTGCAGTTATTAATTGTTTTATTTGCTTTTCAGAATGGTAGATGTAGGTGGACAGAGATCGGAAAGAAGAAAATGGATTCATTGTTTTGAAAATGTCACATCTATAATTTTTTTAGTAGCTTTAAGTGAATATGATCAAATTTTATTCGAATCAGAGAATGAGGTAAATTGATAATATAAATTAAAGAAGCATATGTATGTAATATGTAGTTAAAATTGAATATGAAAACCCGATTTTATAAACTACCTTTTGTTATGATGATAATCAATAACATGAAAGATGCTTTTCTACAAAAAAAAAAATCTTGATAATAATATAGACACAAATATACTTAATACTAAATAGCATAAATGTACTTGAAATATTTATAGTTTGTTTACAATCTTTGCTGTTGAACAATTCTTGTCTATTATATTTCGATCTATTGAGATCTGCAGTGTGATTTCATTTTTTTTGGTACAAATTAGTTTCAAAGCATTACAAATCAAAGCACGTAAAATGATACACTTTGAAGTGTGTTCAATACAAAATTTCTATATCTAAATTATAGATTTTAATTAGCACATTTAAAAAACAATCAACAATGACTACAAGATGTAATAGTTTATAGATAGCAACTTAACATTGAAAATGCTTTAGATTGAAATAACTAGGAATAAATATTTTGATTTTATTAGATATATATGGTTCCTTAAATAGTCTTATATTCTGATAAATTACAGTTCAAAGTTAAGTATGAAAAATGAAATATATTGATATTAATTTACAGAATCGAATGGAAGAAAGTAAAGCTTTGTTTAAAACGATTATAACATATCCGTGGTTTCAACATTCTTCCGTTATTCTATTCTTGAATAAGAAAGATCTCTTGGAAGAAAAAATCATGTATTCTCATCTTGTCGATTATTTTCCAGAGTTCAGCGGTAAGTAAACAAACTATTACAACACTTAGGATATAATATGCCGATAAGTTGCATAGTATTAAAGAAATAAAAAATAAATAATTATAATTATTTATAAAATTCTAATGAAAATCGAATATTAATGATTGCTTTGTTAAGTCATAGATATTTTATCGGTTTAGGCCCAAAACAGGATCACGTATCTGCGCGAGAATATATCTTACAAGTTTATCTCTCTTCAAATCCCGATCCAGATCGACAATGTTATTCACATTTTACTACTGCCACAGGTCTGATTATTGGAATATGAGAAAATCCTAATGATTTAGTCTCGTCACAATGATCAGTCATATTTAGAGTATTCTATGTAAAACCTTGAAATATTATTAGCTTATATCAGTCCAATCGTAAATTGTATTAATACTAATGTCCTATTGACCTATCGTACAGAGTATAGCTTATCAACTACTAGTTCTTCTAAAGCTTTCTAGATCACTATTATAGCTTCTATAGTTAATCTTCTTTTTTTTAACAAACCACCTTCTGTTGGAATTTACTATCAATGGAAATCTTCAAATTTTGTTTTAATGGTTGCTCTGAATTATCATACATGATATAAATTTCAGAGTTAAAAAACGTGTTTAAATAAAACACGTCAAGTACTTTCAAGATAAGTTAACATTAATGATAAAACAATTTACAACCATGTTTCACAGTTTCAACGTCAATTGTATTTTTAATTTAAAAATTGCATATTTTTAGTAATTACAGAATATTATATGTCGCTTATCTCATCGTACAAACGTAAATAAAATTTTTTAGAAAAAATTTTATCAGTACTTAAAATAACCAATTCATTGTTAATTTGTCTTTATTCTCGTATTTTGAGTATTTTTGATCTCAAACATTTTGTAAAATATGCAATAAAAAATTTCAATGTTCTATAATTATACGTATAATTACTTATTTTTGCGATCAACGTTAAAAAAAAAATTGATGTTGGAAAAACAGTTCATCACTCAGTACTTGTTAAAATAATCAATTAAAATACAATAGTATGTTTGTCAGTAAACTATTTTCTATTTAAAAACGTAGTCTAAATTTTACGAAATTGATATAGAAAAATATGTGTGATAAATATATTTACTTATTATCGCAAATTAATGTACTATACAAAATATTTTAAAGTAAAATACGTAGGATATTTAATATTTAAAATATAGTTATTGCTTTGTAGCTTTATCAACATGGTATACTTTACAGGCCCCCAAAGAGAGGCCGGCGCAGCTAGAGAATTTATTTTAAAGATGTTTGTCGACTTGAATCCTGATAACGAAAAAATAATTTATTCCCACTTCACATGCGCCACAGGTAGGCATTATGCTAGAAATAATATCGAATGCTTTGATATATTATTGCTTAGATTATATTATTATATTCGTTATAAATCTTTCTTTATTGCTTGCCGAATTTTCATTTGGGTAATGTATAGCTGTGAAAAACTGTAAATACTAAATCAAATGGATTTTCTCCAAAATGGATTTATCGTTAAGAAACTAATACTTTGCGATTAACAATCATATTTTTGCATGCTGCGTGTGATGGAATATTTAAACAGATACGGAAAACATCAAGCTTGTCTTTTGTGCTGTAAAAGATACAATTATGCAGAACGCACTTAAGGAATTTAATCTGGCTTGAATGCAACAAGCTTGTATATTTTTTATTATCTTTGTGAAAAAAGATATTCTCTCTTTTGTTGATGGATTTCAATGTTCACTGCATGATTTACATTTTATTTATTTATATCTGTACTCATCATAATATTGCCAACTGCCAATATTGTTCTTTTGATCTGGAAAATAAAAAAAATATTTGCATGTATAAATTATTGATAATTATTATGATCTGATATTCTTTTGAGGGAAATATGTACACAAATAAATATTACATATTTAAAATAATACATGATACTCAAAAAATTACATGTATTGATATTTTTTAAAAAGTTTAATAGATATCACATTATGAAGATGAGTCATACTTTGTGTGTAAAATCTATCAGAAAGTATAGCTAGATGAGATTTAATTTTTTTTTTTTCAATATGATACATTTTTGCATTATGCCTGAAACCATTATATTTTTTCTAATCAACAAATAATTACTTTTATATGTATTAAATGTTTATTATTGATATACAAATATATGTATAAATACGCCTATATGCCTCTGTTGCCTCCGTATCAACATATTGAAATGACGCTCTGAACTCATTTGGCGACGTAGTTGCCTCCGAAACGGAGGCAAATAGGTTTTTCCATGTTTAACCTCACCTAACCAAATTTTTGTAGCTTGGTACACTGTACTTGCAGGGTGATTTTTTTTTCTTAAACGATGCGGCCGCAGGCCACATCGGACAGCACACAATTTAAAGTTTATGATACCTACTTTTTTTGAAAAAAATGAAATAATTTTACTCCAAAACGCGGAGGCGACAAAGATATATAGGTGGATTTATATATATATATATGCATATAAGTATATCAATACATATATATTATATTTTTGTTAGTTTATTCTGTTTTTGTATCAATAAATATCCTTTCATTTTTTAATAATTGTGAACAAAACTAAAAGATCCATTTAATTCGTTAAAATTTTTCTCGTGAAATTGATTTTGACATAATTAAAAAATCCAAGAAGTATTAGTTTTATAAGTATTTAAATAATTTATTGGTTTGATTTTATTTCTCAAAGTTTAGTAGTTTTTAAACGTTAATCCTGTTATATTAGATGAAAATTTAGAATATTGAATTTAAACTCCTTGCTCAGATGAAACTACACGAAAGATTATCTAAAAAATATGTATAATACATTTGAATTTTTTAAATCGGAATTTCAAATAAAGAAATTTATATGATATTTTTCATGCATCAAATTATTATATTGAAATGGTTTACAAAATATAATGGTATATAAGAAAAAACGTTGTTTTATATTAGATAATATGTATCAAAATCATGAATTGAATATTATTTAAATTGAACAAATACATGATTAAATATGATAAAACTGCATTAAAAATAACAGTAAATGTTAAAACAATATTCTTCAAATAAAAATTGGTAAATGTTGAATTTAATGGATCAATTTTCATTTTATTAAAAATGGAAAACAATAAAAATAAAATAAACTTATCAGTTAATGCCTGTATAAAGTAAAATCATGTATACTAATAATTCCATTTGCATTTCGTAAATAATCGAAAGCTTTAATAACAATAAATCGTGCTGTTATTAAAAGTGCATTTAATATTATAACATTTGCATGATGTTTTTTTAAATAATAAGCAATTCACCATTGGTAAGTTAACATTAAAAAATAAAAATAAATGAACTTTTCATAAATGTGAATAGTTTTTTTTTTATTTTCAGATACCGAGAATATAAGATTCGTATTTGCGGCTGTAAGAGATACGATTCTACAGTTCAACTTGAAAGAGTATAATTTGGTGTAAGCTGCGCCATGTGATAAACAAAATATAATCAACTGTATTTACAAGACTTCTAGAGTGAAGAATAACAAAAGGGACTTTGTTGAAGGACTGAAACTCAAGAAAGAACATAACAAAGTTGGAAAAAAAATTAATCGGACGAATAACCAAGGAATAAGGAAACTGGATACAGTTAATAACTCGTGGTGCTATCTGCATAATAGGTCACACGAGTGTACCAATTTTAGCTAGATTAATATATTTTATGATGTTTTCAGCGACACAAAAATTTAAGGACCTAAATTTGAGCGTTATACGTTCTTTCCTAAACTTTTCACTGTCGATACCAAGAAAACTGATTTAGTTTCGTACTCTATGTGTTGAATTTGTTACCTTTTTATAGCCTTGCTTAGTCGATCAAACTCGCCTGACTGTGACATTGTATGATTTTTATATAACAAACTAAATAAAATTTCATGAACTTTAAAACAGCTCGAAGACCATATTAATTTAAAAACATAAAAAACGTATAGTTCTGTCTTAGATAGATATCTCAGTGAAAGAAGTTAGATATAAACAAAAGAAAATCATGGTATGAAATATGGGACGAAGCTTTTTAATTATAAGTATTTGGTGAAATAAGTGAGAGCGGTTCTAGTGCCATTTGATTAGTGTGGTGTTTTATTTCGCTCTTCGTTAGATACGAGGCCAAAGTTTTTTTAATTTTATTTTTTTATTTTATTTTAATATTTTTTTAATATGAAAATAATTTTATATTTTCTGCATGTGACTCAATTCAAAATCCATCGTATAAATATTGTTATATATAATATATAAAAATGAAACATAGAATAGAAAGAAACAACATAAAAAGCATCTAACAATATAAGAAAAAAAAGAAAGGAAAATAGGAGTTCTGAAGTAACGAAATATTCCATGTTCCTTTCTCTTTTAAGAAGAACATCTTTTACATTATAAAATTATTAGTAAATAATAACAGCAGTCTGATAAAAGATGACGTAGTTGGAAGGTGAAAGAGACTAGACTTTATACTGCTCACTTTCATTTTCATGGTAACTTAGTGCACAAGGCGTGTACAGAGGTTATTTTATAAAATTTCACGATTTGTCTTTATAATTTACATCTTTTTAGGGGCAATTGGTAGTATAAACATATATTGAAAATACTATATGTAAAATGGGATGTTTCCTTACAAAATGTAACCTCTGAATCACACTCTTGTGATTTCGTTACTTTATAAAGTTAGAGACATGACCTATAAACACACTATTATCCTTTTCAAGGTAAAATACTTCTAATAAAAGGATACTACGAGTGTCAAGGTATATGCTCTTACTTGTGTTGTATCCACCTCACAGTGTACGTATGTATGAACCGCTCACTGCCTGCGCTTGCTCATGTTGGCTAGCGCGCTGCCCATTGCTGGTATTCTCTATTGTTCGATAAAATAAAAAAAACAACAGAAAATTTTTCATTTTAGTCATCAGTCTGACTGTAAATCTAGATATTTAAGATTTATCATGAAATTAAAATGAATGGATTTAAAAACACTGTAAAACGATTGTGATTTTTTTATCAAATTATCTATTGTATTAACTAATACAATTTCATTTATATTGGTTTTTTTAAGCATAGATAATCGAATAATATCGATGCGGCATATTACTCTACAATAATTTATTGAAAATAAAAATTTAAAAATTGTTTAATAAAAATTATACGAATACCTATTGCATAATATAACAACAATTCCACGTCTAGATTTAGGACTACCTACGTTTTTCCGTTTAATTTAATTCAAAAAATATTCAAAGAGTAAAGTACAACATTCTCTTCTGAAATTGAATTAAATGAATGCATACTTAGAGAATACTCGCACAAATAAAAAAATTTCTAAAATAATGTTGTTGTGTTGATTGGTTTAAGAATAAACTAATCCGTGGCGTTAAGATTTATACTTATTTAAATATTATTTGATCTTAACGCTACCAACATCTAACGCACATCGGGCAGCATACTTTATACTTACTTTATTTGAGACACTAAATTTGTATTAAGAAAATGAAATAAATCAATACATTGAATAAAGCGTAATATTAAAAGATAACAGAAAGATAGAAGGAAATACTTTACTTGTTAACAATTTTGCTCATAGGCACCGTATATGAAATATATGTGATGTTCACTAGGGATATAATCGTTGACAGGTATAGAATTTACTGCTATTATCAAAAAATACTGCTTAATTTTTAGTATATCTGAGTGAGATATTTTGCGGAACATGTACGTGACTATAATAATGATACTACAATAACAAAATTTTATGCGAATGCGTGCTAAATAATAGAGTGAATGTTTTAAAGCGTATGTAAACGTTACAGATGAGATTAGTAAGTTCGAACGTGAAGAATTTGGATGAGTGTATTAATGTTACGACAGAAATTGAGAGAATAAAAAGAGAATGAATCGTGCGTAATTACTGCATATATGCAAATTGGTAAGTATGAGAAAAATTTTAAACATGAAATAAGATCGGAATGTACGAAATGTTCTATTCGTTAATGTAAAAACGAAAGCGATCACAAACAAAATACGAACTTGTGGCTACAATTCATTTGTAAATCATTTCTTGTCAAAAGTATACATTTTTCTGATCACATAATATGTTGGGTATTCTTTCTGTGTGTATAAAATGTAAACACCTACCAAACCCAAATGAAATCAATGTTTCTAACTTATTTATAATAAATAATATACATCAATTATGAAATACGAATAGTTTGTAAAATTGATTTTCACAATAAATCCCATTCATATTTTCTAAGCGTAAAGAAATAATCATTAGTTTTAATTTCAAAATATTATAATTGAGTCTTGGCGTTTTACAATATTTTCCATACACTGTAACGCTACCGCGGTCAGGGCAAGTTGCCTCAATCCCTGACCGTGTAGGTGCTAATTTACCCAAAAAAAATTTATCAATTATTAATCCTACCTGTGGACATCACTTGTTTTTAGGCCCCAAAACGAGAAACCTGGAAAAGCTGGCTAGCTTTAATACACCTAAAAACCGCAAAAAAATGTCTCCCGCGAACACAAATAAACTTTCCACAAAAATTTTATTCAATAATTAATCTTAATCACGAGCAGTTTGTTAATCAAAACAAAAACTTTATTTTTATCAAGTGTAAAACCAGTGAGATTTTACTAATTAATTAAAGAAACGCATTAATTTATAAAAACTCGAAAAAGAACAATTTAATTGACTTGAAAATAATTACTCAATAATGATGATAATCAACTTAATCCAGTGAGCCAGATTATTTACATTAATTGCAAAAGAAACTTTGATATTCAAAAGAAATTCCAATGTTCACGATAGTAATAATAATAATCACTCTGCAGTTAATGAAGATTAGACTTTTATTCGCGAGAACGTTCTCGACGCCTTTTATTTTTCAAAACAAAGTTAATTCCTCCAAGAGGAAAAAGGATAGATGGTCCGCAACGTATGTACTGGTACCAGGCTATACTCACTCTCTCACACGCATTCGGGAATATAGCGAAAGGAAAGAGGCAGAGGAAAGTACGAAGTCATTCAGGGTTACTGAAGCATCTCTTCTTCTAGATAACCCAGCCCCCTGGTCCACCGGGGCTTGTATACTCGTCGAGACATCTAAAAATGTGCAGGAACACCAAATGAGCTTCCTGGATCCACCACTGGACACTCCAACCAACAATAATATAATGTTCGTCTCGGAACGTCGAGGGATTTGTCGGATTATAGCAAGTTTGGCACTTCACTTATGCTCTCGCAACGTCGAGAGACTTTTCATGAACGATTTGTAAACAGTTCACACCCCGCAACGTCGGAGAAAAGGTGATTGCAGATTTTTATGTTGAAAAGACAACAAACCCACGTGTGTTCTCGTTCAAGACTATTTCCACAATGGCGTTCTTCCGGAAATAATTTAGCCGACTGGCCACGTGGTGATTATAGCGCCGTCAAAAATTAACTATCTTGACCTAATTGGTAAATTAGGTCAACTATTAATCGACATGTCGATAACGTATCGACCCGCTGAAGGGCTGAGTGACAATCGACTCACTCGCCTCGTTACAGTTAACTCGCCTACGTACAGATAGTTAACAACATTGCTTTCTAACTTAGGTGTGGATCCTTACACCTCATATAAAACGCAGTCATCCATACACCACTCGTTACATTTTAACATTTTTATAATTTTACCATTTTACCGTAAACAATAAGTCTTATTAAGGCATTTGAAGTGTTCAGACGTTATAATAACAGTAGATAGGTCGTAACATTTTCAAAACATTGTGATTCTAAGTGTAACTGCGTGAAAACTACTCCAAAAAAGCAGAGCAGGAGCAATGTCAGAGAACAGCAATAGTCAGGTGGATGTAGAAGACGCGGATGCCATGACAGAAACACCTCCAATCACTCAGGACAATCCACCAACTTTTACTCCAAGTCCAACCAACGATAGTAACACAGGTGAAAATGACACAATCAAACTCATGCTAGTTAATAAAACAAATGGGTGGTAAATAGCTTCCAAAGGAAAAACAAATCAGGCTAAACGTAAGCGTACAAGCACAAACAGTGTAGATTCCCTGTAGTCACCAATAGAGAGTAACCCTCTTTTTCCGTTAACAAAAATTCCGCAAGAAGAAAACTCTACAAATGATCAAGCAAGTAATAGTCCAGCCGACACGTAGAAAGTAAACACCACAAAAATTCTAAAGCCCCCCCCCCTCCCAATCTTTATTCCGGGCGTACAAGCTATTCAGATACTCGCTGAGAAAATTCAACAAACAACTCAAGGCGACAAATATACATACAAAACGGAATGTGCAATGTATCATACATATCAACTGAAGCAGGAACGCGCCAACAGAGTAGTGATAAGATCACTTCACCCATCGGTCCCATTAGATGACATAAAAAGTGCACTAGAAAACAAAAGCCATTATGTGCGTAACGTATCGCATATCTACCGCAAAGTACTCGGGATCCGTTACCTCTATTTTTTGTAGACCTCGAGCCGAATTCTAATAACAAAGAAATATATAAATTAGACTTGTTACTGAATGCTAAGATACAAATAGAACCACCCAAAAAAAATGCAACTATAGTGCAATGTACTAGATGTCAGATGTATGATCACTCCAAAACATACTAGAATAGACCCTTTCGATGTGTTGAATGTGGTAAAGATCATGACTCCAAAAACTGTACCAAAAGTAAAGATATCTCAGCAAAATGTGCATTATGTGAAGCACCTCATACTGCTGATTCTAAAGGTTGTAGTGAGTATAAGAGAATACTGGAAAAGAGAAAGCAAAATCAATAAAAGCCTCAGTGGCATCGCTCTACTAACATACGGAACGTGCAAGCAACTCTCCCCAAATGCTCTCACAGACCAACACAACCCCACCAGTCCGGGTAGACGTCAGACCGAGCCCCATTTACACGAGTATTACAAGTAACGATACTCAATCAAATAATTTCAGTCAATCTTAAAGCATCAAACTCAGCTATTAAATACCATGCTAAACCTACTAACCGTATTAACACAAAGTCTTACCAACCAGAAATGATCTCCTCATATCAGATTGTCCTATGGAATGCCAATGGCCTGATTCAACACCTCCTCTTTTCTCTCACCCTCTCGCGGATTCTTCTAATTTCTTCGAACAATTTTTCTTCCGCACACGCCTTGACAAATTGTTCGAGTGCCTTACATGTGTCCTTTGTTTGGACGAATTTTGGCGCAATTTCAGGCCACGTTAGGCTGAGGTCAACGTTCGTTTCCGAACGTATGACCGATATGAGATCACTACGTTTGTCTCTATATGCGGGACAGTGCAGCAGGAAGTGCTTCACTGTGTCGTCGTCTCCGCTATTGCAATTAGGGCAGGTTGGTTCCGTTTCGGTGGCATATTGTGCACGATGTGCACGAAATATGCCATGTCCTGTGAATATTGATGTCATTAGGTTGTTTAGGCGTATCCGATTATCATCAAGCCTATCTGCTATGTTCGGGAAGAATTGGTATGTTTTGCGACGCGTCTCGGACGCATCCTATTCTGTCTGCCATATTTTGAGTGTTTATAACCTGAGGCTTATCATCGGCGTCGACGATTCTTCTGACGTATTGTCATTCAGAGAAATTCTAACATTGTTGTATGTAACTGCTTCGTCAGTACGAAGTGTATATAGCGCATTGAGATCATCAATCGCTATGCATATAGGCGGAACGCCTACCACCACGCAAAGGCCGTCCCTCGGGGTAGATGCGCAAGCGTGCGCGACAACTCCCAAGACGCCTCTCTGCGCAGCCGCAAGCGTCAGCCAATCTTTAGCGTAACATAAATCGCTTCTTGCCGGGGATGTATAAGCGACCACCGTCAGGAAGCACTCCCTATATATAGTTAGACAACTGTGGTAATTAAGTCCCCAACGCATTCGCGAATTATCCGCTGTTTCCGTAAAATCCAGGGTTCCACCACCCTCTTCAGTGCGAAGCGCATTTATAACTTTTTCGGCTCGAATCTCGTCGTCCGCAAGCTAGTGTATGACACCCCATTTCTCCTCGTTTACGTGGGTTGTGAAGAAATCTTTCCAGCTCTTTGTTTTCGCTCTTTTTAATCGCTTGGAAGTACCTTCTTACCTGCTGGCGGTATCGGTATTTTGACAATGGCTTAACCAAATCCTCTAACTGCGTAGCCTTGTAAATCGGCATTCGTGGAGTAGGGCTCCTGTAATAACAGTACATCCAGTTGCTTTTCTTTCAAGTGCAGACGCTTCTTTTATGGAGTTAATGTTGATATGAAGATTTAATTGGAGAAGACGGAGCTCGTCCGTTCTTCTAATAGCAGCGTTCTTTGTGGTATTTTGGGACGGCGCCCGACCACCTGGAGTCGGGACGGTACTATCACCATCTTAATTGTCCCGTGGTTCGCATGCCGTGTTGTTTTGATTATAATTTTAATTATACCTTGTAACGAGATGGGTGAATCGAGTGTCACCCAGCCCTTCAGCAGGTCGATACGTTATCGACCTGTCGATCATTGATTGACCTAATTTACCAATTAGGTCAAAATAGTTTATTTTTGGCAGCGCTATCATCACCACGTGGTCAGCCGGCTAGAAATTTTACATAAAGACGCCATTGTGGAGTTGTTGTCGAAAGAGTAAGCACGTGGTGTCAAGTTCTCTTCTCTGATTCTCTGCAATCATCTTTTCTCCGACGTTGCGGAGTAATAATTGAAATAAAATTATGAAAACAAGTCTCTCGACGTTGCGAGAGCAACAGTGAAGTGCCAGTTAGGCTACATTTATTGAAAAAGCCCTCGACGTTGCGAGGTGAAGTTATTCCATTGTTGGTTGGTGTACTCTACCACCTGTTCAAAGGACCAGTTATTGTTCAGTGTACCAGTCGCAGATAGTTTGTGGATGTCTCGCCGAGGAAGTAAGCCCCGTTGGACCAGGGGTCTGGGATACTTAGACGACGAGGAGCTTCCGTAAGCTGAAACCATCTACATCTATCTACTATCTCTTTCCTTTCTATATTCCCTGTGTGCAAGTGGGAGAGAGAGAGAGTATGTGCTTTGCGATCCGGTACCAGTAATTTC